TTGCACCTTCAAAGTGCAAAGTGATGCTACAAGAGTGATGGTCGCCGAGTTCTGTTCTGAAACTAGGCGGACAGGAATTAGCTGAGGTTGACTGATTCTCGTACTTAGGTAGCTGCGTGACCAACGACGGTAGCGCATCAAAGGAAATAACTGCGCGCATTTCCAAGGCTCGAGCAGCGTACGCAGGACGAAAACACCTGTGGCGACGACGTGGCATATCACTAAACTTGAAAAGTCGCGTATACTGCGCCACTGTACGATCAGTTCTGCTTGAATTTGCGGGTAGAAGACACCCGTGGTTTATCCGTGTTCGATAATCGATGCTCACGTAGTCCGGCCCAAGTGGGATGGAGCGGGCGGGTTAGTAACTTAGAAGTAGGTCGTCGGGTGTTTGGGAATAAATCAGACAAGAACTCGCTATCTCATCGAATCCAGTTCAGTAGGCTCCGTTGGTTAGGACACATTTTGCGTATGTCCGACAGTCGCCAACCGCAGTGCGCCTTGTTTGCAATGGCTGTTACAGGCTGGAGAAAGCCACGTTGAGGCCAGCAGATGACGTGGAAACGAAGCATAAAGAAATGTACAGAGCGATTAGGTAAAGTAGGTGTCTCTCGTCTTCCGGGTTGGGGTCCAAAAGACTCTGAAACCGCATGGTTGGAGACACTGAAGGTCATGGCTGCGAATCGACAGTAATGCTGTCACTTCTTATCAGTCCAGAATACTTGAACTAGCATGTATGCACAGTTGGGCTGTGTACTTGGTGTGTTGACCATAGAGGTTCGCTTTCTTTTTCCATCCCTAAAAATAGGTCCAATCCCTGTCCTTCTTACACATTCTCACTTATATATATATCATTGGTAGATGTGTCATAACATATGAAGAAAAAGATGTGAAAATGGTTTAAATGTAAATTAACGAATAAGAGTTTCGCAAAAGGTGCGCCATAGACGCCGGTTACCAGCCATGTCTGCAAGCGTATCAAGCCATAGATGGTCTCTGTTCTTGGGACCCCAACCTGGGAGTCTAGATCATCCTACCACTGCCAGTTTTGAGGTTGGCGCCTTCATTGTTCGAGCCCAGGTTATACGCTGTTCACCATGTGGCTGCTTCCAGGTCGTGTCTGCTTGCG